GACAACCAAATTACTGTTTTCTATTAGTTGGGGACTGAATTAATGTTTCCTGATAATTGGAGGACTCTTTTGCTGTTTCCTTATAGATGGAGGATCGATTTTCTATTACTTCATAGTTGTATGTGCAAATTGCTGTTTAATAACAGTTAGAGGGCTGGTTTGATGTTTGCAATTAGTTTGATTACCAAATCACTGGTTTCAAATAGTTGGAGGACTAATTGTTATTGTATGACCAAATTGCTGTATACTAAGAGTAAGAGAGCTGGTTTGATTTTTCTAACGAGCTCGATGACCAAATCAATGTTTTGTAATAGATAGAGGGTCCTTTACTTTTCCATAGAGTTGGATGACTAAATTACTTTTTTCTAATAGTTGGAGGACCAGATCACTGCTTTTTGTCAATCGGAGGATTTTTTTTGTTTCTAAATTGGGGGACTGATTTTGTTTGTGAAAATTAGTTGGATAACCTAATTGCTGTTAATTTAGTTTTATAATTTCTAATAATTTGATGACCAAATAATCGTTTTCTAATTATTATGAGGGCTCATTTTTGTTTCAATATAGTTGGATGAACATATTTAAATATCATTAAAATTGAAGGATGAAATTAAAGTTAAATAATAGTTCCATGACTAAACTGATATTTCCTAAACAGTAAGGACTAAATTACTTTTAGACTATAGTTGGATGACCAAATTGAGGTTTACTTAAAGTTGAAGAATGAAATTGCTTTTAAATTATCGTTGAATGACACAATTGAAGTTTCCTCAAAGTTGAAGGATGAAATTAATGTAAAGCAAGACTAATTTGGTATTTCCGCAAAACTGGAGGACTAAATTGCTTCTGAGGTATAGTAAGATGACCCAATTGAAGTTTTGACAAAGTTGAAAGATGATATTAATGTTAAAAATAGTAGAATGACTAAATGTAGATTTACTCAAACCCGAAGGACTAAATTGCTTTCAAGGTATAGATTGAAGACTAAATTGAAGTTTCCTGGAAGTAGAAGGATGAAACTCATGTTAATCAATAGTTGAATGACTGAATTACTATTTCCTTCAAGCGGAGGAACTAAATTGCATTTTTATTTTTTTTAATTTTTTTTTTAAGTATAGTTGGATTATCCAATTGAAATTTTCCTAAAATTGAAAGATGAAATTAGTGTTAAACAATAGATATATGACTAAAATTGCTATAACCTTAAACTTGAAGGACTTAATTCATAAGAAAGTATATATGGATGATCGAATTGAAGATTTCGAGAAGTTGAAGGATTAAATTAATGTTAACGAATAGCTGAATGACTAAATTCTTATTTCTTGAAACTGAAGGACTAAATTGCTTTTAATGTATAGTTTGATGACCCAATTGAAGTTTCCCAAAAGTGGAAGGTCAAAATTACTGTAAATTAATAGTAAATGACTCAATTCGTATATCCTTAAATCTGAAGACTAATTTGCTTTGGAAGTATAATTAAATGACCTAATAGAAGTTTCCACAAAGTTAAAGGATGAAATAAGTGTTAATGAATAGAATGACTAAATTCGTGTTTCCTTAAACATGAAGGACTAAATTGCTTTGGAAGTATAGTTTGATGAACCAATTGAAGGTTTCGCAAAGTTGAAGGATGAAATTATCGTTAATGAATAGTGGAATGACTCAGTTCGTATTTCCTTCAACCTGAAGGACTAAATTGCTTTGGAAGTATAGTTGATTACCTAATAGAAGTTTCTCAAAGTTGAAGGACGAAATAAGTGTTAATAAATAGTTGAATGACTAAATTCTTGTTTCCTTAAACCTGAAGGACTAAATTGCTTTGGAAGTATAGTTAGATGACCCAATTGAAGTTTTCGCAAAGTTGAAGGATGAAATTATTGTTAATGAATAGATGAATGACTCAGTTCGTATTTCCTTTAACCTAAAGTACTAAATTGCTTTGGAAGTATAGTTGGATGACCCAATTGAAGTTTTCCCAAAGTTGATGGATGAAATTAATGTTAATCAGTAGTTGAATGACTCAATTCGTCTATCCTTAAACCATGAGCACTAAAATTACTTTGGAAGTATAGTTGGATGACCAAATTGAAGTTTTCCCAAAGTTGAAGGATGAAATTAAAGTTAATCAATAGTTGAATGACTCAATTCGTATATCCTTAAACCTTAAGGAATAAATTGCTTTCGAAGTATAGTTGGATGACCAAATTGAAGTTTTCCCAAAGGAGAAGGATGAAATTAATTTTAGTCATTAGTTGAATGACTATATTCCTATTTCCTTAAACATGAAGGATTAAATTGCTTTTACAGTATAGTTTTTGACCCAATTGAAGTTTCTTTAAAGTTGAAGGACTAAATTCCTTTTATACTATAGTTGGATGACCTAATTGAAGTTTTCTTATAATAAAGCATGAAATTGCTTTTATTATATAGTTGGATGACCCAATTGAAGTTCCCTAAGAGTTTAAAGAGTAAATCGCTTTTAGGGTCCGTTTGATTGTAAAGATGGAATTGAATTGCCTAGAAAACGAATTTTAGGAAATTGAATTGTCTAGAAATTATTTTCTTGGAAATTGTAAATTATTGTGTTTGATTGGTATAATTTTTCACGTGAAAAATGTTGAAATAAAAGTGTTTTTTTATGTTCGCTTGGCTTTATTTTATATGAAAATTTTCAATTAAAGGGGTAGAATTTATTGGTATTGGGAATGAAATTTGTTCCTATTGCCAAAACAAAAAGAAAATTCAAAAAAATCATCTATCTTTTGGTGTTCGTCTGGCATTATTTTATATTAAAATTGTCAATTAAAAGGAAATATTTTTTTACAAAAATTCTTAAAATTTGTTTCCATTGCAAAAAAAAAAAAATAATAATAATAATAATAATAAATAAATAAATAATGCTAATTCCTTGAATTCATGAAAATTGGCTTATGTGGCACCAAAGATAGAATTTCATTTCCGGGGAAAAAAGGTGTAAAACAAAGTTAAATTGGAAGGTGGAATTCCAATTCCATTTTTCATTGAATTCCACCTCCAATCAAATACACCCTTAGTTTATAGTTGGATGACTTAATTCGAGTTTCTGAATAGTTGAATAATGAATTTCCAAATTAGGTAATCCAAAATTTAATTGGTCACCCAACCACTAATAAAACTGCAATTTCATTTTCTGTCTAACTATTGTCAAACTACAAATTAGTCCTCACACTTTTGAGAAGCAAAAATTTGTCATCTATCTTTTATACTGAAACAGCAAAATAGTCCTCCATTTATTTGGTAATAACATGTGGTCATCAAATAACAAAAAAGTCAATTCATCCTCCAATTATTAGTAAACAGCAATTTGGTCAAACATTTTTTATTGAACAGTGAAATAGTCTTCCATCTATTAGAAAATTGTGTATTGGTCATCAGATTAATTTATAACATCAACCCAGCCGTCCAATTATTATAAAAGAACAATTTGTCATATAAATAACTTCTACCTGCAAATCAGTTTTTCAAATTATAAATAATAGCAAAATAGTCCTCCAGCTATTAGAAAACTTTTGATTTTGCCATCGGAATAATTTAAAACATCAATGCAGTCCTCTATCTATTACTCAATAGCAATTTGGTCATCCAAATAACTTCATACGGCACATCAGTCCTCTAACTATAAGAAATCAGAAATTAGTCCTCCAACTAACAAAAAACTGCGATTTGGTCATCAATCTTTTTTGAAAACATCAAACTGCCATTTGGTTCAAACAGTCTATTTAGTCACATAATTTATAATTTTGGAGATTTGACGAAAAAAATTTAGTATTATAACTAATATTTTTACTTGAAATTTATGAAGTATCTAAAACGCCCTTTTCAACGTCGCATGCACAACACAAACCAATTCCTCCCAGTAAAGTCATTTACGTGAAATTGTTCAATCGTGCAAGTGTTTAAACCCTTAACCCCACTCAGTCATCTTCTCCCAGAACTCCACCACGACCATCATGGCTTCCATCTGAGACGGCAGCTCAAATTGGTAGGCCTCGACTCCCTACACAGGCTGAAATCGGCAAAACCATCGTTCTTCTTAATTTCGCCTTCGCCGAACTTCTCATTGCCTGCTCGATTGGCCTTGCAATACTATTATCATCTCTCAAGCCATTCGCTCCCAGATCTCCGTTCAGTCAGCAATTGAGTCCATAACAATAATAGTATCATCATCGGTCTTCGTAGTAGAATATTTTGTCCAATGCAGCGGAGCAGCAGTGGTGGCGACTATGTTGTTTTCCAGTTCCCAAGTTTGACGGGCAATCGCCACACCGGAGAATGGATCCATTGTTAAAGGGATCTTTTGGACAAGGATGAAGTTGGAGTGTTTGTTTTGATTTTAGGAGGAAAAAAGGGATTTGGGAAGGAAACAAGAATTCTTTTGAAATGCCTTTCGAAAATGATAAATAGAAGGTTTTCAAAAGAAAGAGAAAAATAATAAAAATGGGATTTAATTTATCGATATTTACGAGAATTTGCGCATAAATTTAAGTTGGTAATTAACCGTGTTTTTTTTTTTTTTTAAGGGCGTCATCATTGATCGCTTGATTGCCATATGATCTAACATGATATTTATTAAGTGGGTCAAACATTGTTAACTCGATTTTCATGCATATCTAATCTTGTTCCGGATGTTATTTATCTATTTAAGACTACTTTTCTATTTGTGAGCTCGTGATCAAGAGATTCAAGACACTATGTTCAATTAACATATGTCACATCACACTCTACGTTAATTTTACCAAATCTTTTTCGGTGGAAGAACAAGAGTTCAACCTCTACCGTATTATTTGATTGGGTCACATTAAGTTGAGCTAAAAGAGTAACGATAAATTAACATCTATTAAGTAAGCTCTGAGTTGTAGAATACAAGTTAACTAGTATGATTCGACTCAATCCACTCTATGTCAATAACCCAAGTAGAAAGAACCCTTGGTTAGGCAAGAATATATATGTGTGGAGAGTGAAGATGACAAACAAATTACTGTCATTAATCTCAAAGTGCAAAAGATTGAACATAAGCATAAACTCTCTCGTTTTCTAGAGCCCACATTTGACTAGTCAAGTCGTTGCAGATATCAGTATTTGGAAATGCAAGAACTTCCAAGAAATTCTAAGAGGATCAAGTCCAGGTAGCATAACTTGTCAACCATGAGACTAGGTTTCAACCATCAGATCTGGACCAGATGAATCTGATGAAGATTTGTTAGACAGACCGAACTGTGTTGAAAAGTATATCATTTATAACCTAAAGAGTGGGATAAATCGGGATCAGTAGAACCCAAAAGTCCAATTAAAATCTCTGAACTAGTAAGAAAAAGGGTAAAATGATGTAAAGGAGGCAGTTTACTTGTGACATCAAACCATGAATCTGCTCAACGTTTATCTTTGCACTATCACGAGTAATCTTGGCAAGTTGGGATTCTTCCTGAAATAGATAATTATCGGTAGGGGAAAATGTCAAAGAAAGCAAAAGGATAGGAAAGATTTTTGCATTGCATACACATTTATACATTTGCTTATAAATGTTCATTCCTGATGGGCTGATAGAAGATGGGGCACTGCACAGTTATATTTCTAAAGCAAGATGTGGTGAAAATAGGACAAGCCAATCTGTAAAGTTTGACCTCTATGTCCTGGATGATTTGAGATTGACAAACATATACATTGGCTGGAATTTTATTGTGAAGTAATTGTATTTATCACCTGGACAAGCAAAAAAAATTGCCCAAGAAACCTAGTTGAGCAATTTCCATCCTTGAGTCCACTAAGATCCAGAAATCTCATTTAATAGTTAATAAGAATTTTAAACTTAAAAGTTGTTGCTTGGCAGCGTAAATGCAGCATTTGCGTCTTGCTAGCAATAAATCCTTACTGTTAAATGTCAACAATGCATACAAGCAAGAGATTCAAGACTTATGAATTATGAGAGTAGAACGAGATCCACTGAAATAAGGAACATATCAAATTTGCTCACTCGAGAATCCATTGAGAGCAATAATAAATATATGGCCAAAAGTTTGAATTTCGCAAGGCTGAATATCCTGAAATATGGTCCATATAATATAAAACAATTACCAGTATTGTAAAATTTACAAATTGCATGTGAAACTTATCTTGTAACAACAAGGATGGCTACATGTTGCAACTTATTTCTTTGATCTAAAATAGTAAATACTTTACATGCAACTACTCGAGTCACAAGACAGCTACATGTAATCACTAGTTTTTCCTATTGATTCTAATTTAGTTTGAATTATGTGAAAACAACTAGCTCACAGAAATAGACCAATCACCATTATGTGGGAAGAGAGGTAGCATGATTTTACTGACTGGAAGAACTAGCAATGCCCAAAAACCCCAAAACAAAATGAGAAAGCACTTCTTAATGTCAATTTAAACGGCTCTTCATCCTTCAATAGAATTCTCTCTGAAGAATGATTAATTGCAAAGTCCCAGAAAAAATAAGCTGATCCTTGTAGTTAAGAGAACTATTCTCTACATTTAAAAATTGATAGCAATCTTCCTTCAATATTTCCAGGAAAAACATGGAGAATCTTCTTGTTCTACATTAACAACATTCACTGATCAATAGACTCGAAAACAATTCTTGCATGAAGAGAATTGCGAACTACAAAAGAATTAAACAGAGAAGAGCTTAACATATAAAAGAATACAGAAATGCAAATAGCAATCTCCATCTAAGGGCAGATAGTCTACTGTGAGAAAGGAAGAAAAAGTTATAGCTGAACATTACAATGACCTCTTTCTTCTTTTGAGCAGGTGCTATCAAGGGTCCAAAGCGTGAATGAGCCAACTAATTTTCAGCGTGATCCAGTTTTTCAGATGCATAAAATCAGATGCATTAAACATACAGAATTTACTCGACAATAGACATCACTGATAGCAATTTTTGAAGAAAACCTATTATAACATGACAGGCTTGTTGTCAAAACAATTGATGGTCAAAACTAATAAAGCTCTCGCAATATTAGCAAGGAAATTACCTAAATCTGAGATTTGAACAGCAACATAGTCCCCATTACCAAGCAAAGGAGGAGAAGAAGAAAGGGTGTTCACCCAATATTTATTCCACAGAAGATCCAAGAATTTACAATCAAGAGATGACTTGAAATATGTAATATCCAATGCATAATACTGCAAGACATAATGAGATTAAACTAAGAGAGCAAAAAGAGTTTGAGAACAATACATTTCTCACAAGTCATCACCTGCTTACAGTGCATACCGAAGTCTTCAATTTTGTTCAAGGGAATTGTCCGATACACAGAGACAGGCTCATCTAGAGGCTTGTATCCTTCTGGGTATTCTTGAAAGCACCAATATGAACTTTACCAGCTGAAACAGTCCTGGTTGGATCAATAACAACTGCTAGGAAGGGCTCCTGAAATTTCTGGTTAAGCATTTGTGTGGAAACATCAATGCCAGAAAGCCAACATCCACATCCAGGACGGGAATGGTACTACCCAACAGCATTCTCCAGTCAACCCACCTTCAGCCACAAAATTCAATGTGAGACAATAACCTCAAAAAAGGATACTTAGAGAAATAACACAACACTAAGGAGAACAAAACCTAGATAGAGATGAATAAATTTTAGACAAAAGAGAAATTAATTGGTAATAAGTGTGATGCAGACGAATGATTTGATTTCCACTTTCAGGTGAAAAAAAGGTAAACCAATGACTTGATGTTGTGCTACTAAATTTCACTGCCAGATAGCTTATCACCATTAAAATAAAATAAAGAGAGAGGGCTACTTAGAAATTATTAGAAAAAAGAATCAAAATCAGAGTATACAAAGTAATAATTTAAGCGAATGACCTGGTAACACCATCTAGAGAGTAAAGAACTTTGCAATTTTGAATTATGTATTCAACTTTCCCAGGTCATCATCCTTCTAGATTGTCCTTCATAATGGGAGTGTTGTCTAACGGTTCTCACTTTTCTTTAAGAAAATATTGTTTGACGTCAAAGTAGACAAGAAAAGAATCCTTTAGACAATCTAACTGATATTAATCTTGTAAAATTATAGAAGAAAAGACTAAATCTTTTTATATACAAAAGAGAAAGGCCAATAATTTTCTTTAAACAAACATTTTTTTATATGTAAAACTAATTTTCAGTACGTATAGACTAGTTGCAAACCAGCAGCAACTTGTCTTTTTAAACAATGAAATAAATCATAAAATACTTAAGAGATGTATATCATGAAGTGAAGTGCTCAAATTTTGAAGTCATAAGTTACATGGATTTACTAATTGCTAAATGCATATTAAGAATACTTCGAATAAATTATATAATGCATTCAAAATTTATCCCTAAGGAATTTTAGAACACTAATTAACTACTGGACATTTCGGTATTAATATTTAAGATATGGACAAAATTATAGTCCAGAAAATCTCATAATAAGAAATTAGTAATTTATTGAACATGGATTTTGAAAGCATTGATGGTAATGAAATGTCAAACCATTAAGACGAGATTTGTTATCAGTTTTCAGAGTCATCTGAAAAACCAGCTCTCAGAAGAATGAATAAATATGGATATAAATGCAAAAGAAATAATAAACCTCTAAATTTAGTAATTTATCAGTAAAAACATAAAAAGCTTAATGGAAATCTCAAATTCCTTTTAATTCTGGAGCTTTATTATCTACAAGGATTGAGGTACAAGTACTCTGTGCTTTGAAGGCAGTTTCTTGTTTTAAATTTCCTTTAGAACGTGAAACCATCCAATCACGAGGTGCTTCTTCGACATCTGTTAAGTACTTTACACTTCAAAAATTATACCTCATTAACAATTTCCTCCAGGACTAGCATAACCCGGGATAGAAGAAAAAGGGCAGGAACTGTCTATTTGTAAATGAATATTGCAAAGTGAATAAATTTTTCTGCACACCAAAAATTTCCCCATATGATAACTTTCTAACAATTTGACCGAAACACAGCTACAATTGCTCCTAAATAATTATGTAACTTTTCATATAAACAACCCACAAAAATTTCTATAAAAATCCCTTAACTCTTGAGCATTAGTAGCCAGAATTCCATCAAGCACAATGCAATAAATAATAATAATAATAATAATAATAATAATAATAATAATAATAATAATAATAATTATTATTATTATTATTATTATTAATTATTATTATTATTATTATTATTATTATTATTATTATTATTATTATTATATTATCCAGCACAATTTCGTTTAATACATGTATTCAAAAAGCCACAAACCTATTTGTTGGTCTGTGAATAATCAACTATGTACTCATATGTATCAGCCAGGGCGTTCACCCTAGTTTTGGTCCCCTCAACGGGGAGGGCAAAAAAGTCCATAACAATAATAATGTCGCCATCGGTCTTCCTTTGCATGAGTCCCATGACCTCAATGTTGCCGGCGGAGCGGGCATGGACGACCATCTTCAGGAGGGCTAGTGCACAGACCTTCACGCGTTTGAAATAGTGTGGATCGTTGGCCCATGGCTTTTCTTGCTGGAAATTAGAATATTGCGTCCGGCACGGAGGAGTTGTCGGCGGCGGCAGTAGTGGTCACTATGTTGTTTTCCAATTCCCAAGTTTGACGGGCAATCGCCGCCGAAGAGAAGGGATCCACTGTCAGTGGGTTCTTTAACACAAATTCCCAGTTGAAGAAGCATTTCGAAAGTTAATAAATGCTTTGTATAAGATAATTAGCACAAAACGTCCATATCTTTCGATATTTTTGTGAAAAATGTCTCTATCTTTCATTTTTTGACGAATTACACCCTTATCTTTATCCTTTTTTTTGCACAAAACATCCTTCTGTCAACTCCCTGTTAAAATGCTCCGTTAAATCAAAGGGTAATTAACACAAAAAGTTCTTACCTTTCAATATTATTGTGTAAAACGTTCATACCTTTTATTTTTTGGCATAATTAGCACAAAAGATCCCTACCTTTCAATATTATTGTGCAAAACGTCCCTACCTTTCATTTTTTAGCATTTTCACCTCAACCTTTCACATTTTATTGCACAAAAGATCATTTTCATCCATTTTTTCAATAAAATGATAATTTTACTCTCCTATTCAAATAAAATAAAAAATAAAAGATGAATTACCAATTGCAACCATAGTCATTAAATTTTTAAAAAATTACAAAGAAATCATAAATTCTCAACCATCACCACTTTTACAACCTATCAAGTTGCCAACTATAAATCCACATAACACCACCTTTAGGCCACCATGTCCACCGGACTCCACCACCGTAAATGTGGTTGTTTCGGATAGATTGGTGACCAATACTATGGAGGAGGATATTGGGGAGAGTGAGGCGAGGCTAGTGGTGGGGGAGTCCGATAGGTGTTGTGGTCGAAAGGTATTGCTATATAGATCTATAGATGGTAGCTTGGTGGGGTTATGAAAATGACCGTAGTGGAGAATTTAGGACTTATCTGCAATGTTTTGAAAGATTTAGGACTATGATTGCAATTAATTAATTATTTATTTTTTTTTCTTTTTGTTTTATTTGAATAGGATGGTAAAATCGTCATTTTATTGAAAAATGGATGAAAATGACATTTTGCGCAATGAAAGGTGAAATGT